GTGCTCATATCACCAAAAAAAAAATACATTTGAAAAACTCAACAGCAAAATCTCTTTCTAGAAATCATGATCCAGTTACTCAAGATAATCCACAGACCTTGTTGTGAGCAGATTCATGGAGGAACTATTTTCGTTCCACTAAACTACACCCACCAACCGTATCACCACGCAGAGGAAAGCAGGCATCTTCTGCTAGCTCACCTAGAACCACTGAGCTAGCTAGCTAAAGCTTGTTTGCTTACAGTGATCATAGGATTTAGTTTCACAGCTTTAATCTACTGACTGATGTGCCCTGTTTAATATATGTTATTGTTTTCCCTAAACCTGTATGTTTTCTGTCTTTCTGTTTAGCAATAAGATGTTTCCTGTCTTTGGTTTTGGAGCCAAGGTCCCTCCCTCCTTCCAAGTATGAAAAAATTCTAGTAAAGCTTAAAAATCCTAACAGTCACTTCAGAGACTGACACTGGGGCTGGGTATTTATTCTTGATACTTTTAAGGTATCATTCTTGGTGCATCAGTGGTCAGATCCCAGACTATTACGGCTCCCCAGTTGATCAGCAAACTTTCTGTTGCTGCCATCTTTTGAGCCGCTCTCCTGCAGCAAATGGTCAGTTCAACGTCCAACAGCTCCAACAGTGAGCTGTTTAACGGTCCCAACCAACTCATACTGACACTGAAAGGGCTTGACTGTGTTGTTACCTGTTAAAAACAGTTATCTTACATCAGTGATGCTAATTATTAGCCCCGTCACTGTGTGTGTAAGGGCAGACTCTCACCAGTGTCCTTGACATAGAGTGAGATGCCATCAAAATGTTAGAAAGTGTGGCTTTACTATGCTTTATTCCATTCACATTATGGGTATCAAATGTAGTACTCTACTGGCATCAGTATCACCTAAAGGTTACGGGTATTGGCACTCCATCCACCCATCCATTTTCATCTGCATATCTGGGTTGCGGGGGCAGCAGGCCAAGCAAAGCAGCCCAGACATCCCTCTACCCTGGCACTGACACTGGTATCATAATTTTTTAAACAGTACCCAGCCCCAGACATCAGGCACTTAGTGACTCAGGCTAAACTCAGACTCTGCTTTCACATTTATGTCATTGACCTCTTCATGCTGTTCTAATTCCGGCCATGTACACCAAATCAAATATGATTTAATTAAACTGTGACATCTTAAACTGGTCTGATACTCAGTCAGGAGTATGTGAGTAATAGATCCCTGTACAGCGCAAGAACATGTGTACAGTTATCTATCCATAATGACCTTTCCTATCTGTAATTGCAGAGACTCAATGAAATCAGTTCAGCTGACAAATATGGTGTAGAATGTGGGATATGTTACCAGCTAAAGAGTGATTTTATCTGTATATTTTATCACTGACCTGGCTGGGAGTGTAATGTACTTTTTAGAACAGCTTAATTATTGGTCTGCTTGTGATTTGAGCTGTGTGAGTCAGGTAATCATTTTTATACAGTAGATAATGTCACAAGTTTCTGACAGGAGGAACATTAAAGCTCTGTAAAGCTCTTATTTATTTCTGCTAACAGGTCTCCCATGAGTTTCCTATCAATTTCAATCCAACAAATCCATTCTGCGCGGGTAAGTCAACTGAAGATTGTGTTTGGGTGTCAAATGTTGTACAGTAATGCTGCATTCATGTGGCCTTACTGTATACTCCTGTGTGTGTGTGTGTGTGTGTGTGTGTGTGTGTGTGTGTGTGTGTGTTGCGTTGCAGGCATAGAGGGTGTGGTGCAGGCCTACCAGGAGTGTCTACCGCAGTTGAAGCTCTGGGGCCCCACCAACTTCGCTCCGATTATCAACCATGTGGCCTGCTTTGCCAGACAAGCTCTCCGGCAGAATATGGCCTCAGTAAGTAGCCAAATTCTTTTCAACGTGAAATCTTAGGGCGCTCCTCAATTACGTGGTTGTTAGATTCAGTTTTGAGAGCAAGCCTAGCTGATGGAGAAACTGAAAATTCAGGTTACTTAGATCAAAATTTAAATGTTCGGATTTGAGTACACAAGGAACCTCACTGGAAAGCTACAAAATGATAAAAACATGACAAGACAAAACAAAGAATAATGGCACCCTTTAAGAAACATAGTTCATCTTGTATATTTTGGTATAACATATTTCACTTTTGTATACCTCAATACCTGAAGATGTTTTGTTGTTTCAGAAGTGTTTCCAAAAAGGTTTTATGTGAAATCTAATTCATGAAAATGTGAACAAACTTGTACTGTTGCTTATGTAAATCTTCCACAACAATAATAATAACTTTATTACGAATATATGGTGTTTACGTACGTACTCCAAAAACCCGATCATAAGCTGGTTATTCACGTCCACGTTAACACACTTGTTGTCTGATTAGTTTTCTCTCTCCATCTGCAGCAATACTTCGTGCTGCTCATCATCACAGACGGAGTCATCACAGACATGGACCACACACGCACTGCTATCGTGGAGGCCTCTCGTCTGCCCATGTCTATCATCATAGTGGGTGTGGGCGGGGCAGACTTCAGCGAAATGGAGTTCCTTGACAGCGATGACAAGTTGCTGAGTTCGCCCAGGGGTGACGTCGCCGCGAGAGATATCGTCCAGTTTGTGCCCTTCAGGGATTTCCAAGTAAGCAGCTGCCCGCACCTTCATAATCCAATATCACTTAGTTTAACAGGTGTTTACCGATTTGGAATAAAATGTGAGTGCAAATGTGTTAGCAAACATGGTCCCAAACATGGCTAAGACTACCTCTTATTCTTATAACGTTGTCGTTGCAGGGAAGCAGCGTGGCCCTTGCCCAGAGCGTCCTGGCGGAGCTGCCTGATCAAGTGTCGTCCTTCTTCAATACTTACAAGCTGAAACCCCCGAATTTATTCAATGATCCTGACCCCTCCTAGAAAAATGGGTTAAATTAACCCAAATACCTCATATTTACTACTTATATGCATCTCCTTCACCCTCTTTCTGTATTTACTGTTTGGAATGCTATACATGAATGCAAAGACATGAATGAGGGTAAGAAATAAACCAAAAATATATGTTACTAACCTCAAACATGTGCCTGGAATTCTCAGCAATGTTTTACATGTGATTTGACTCGACTGAAAGTTGATAGAAGAGTTGCTGTGACCAAGAGACATGATAGCTTGTATAGTGCATGTACAACTTGACATGTTGGTACGGCTTTGTTGATTAAATGTCAATATTTCTCTTTCTTTCTTTCCTGTATCACCTCTTCTCTGTTGTTAGTCTGCACAGTCTGTCAGTGCTGTAACCTACAGAGACAAGTTATGTGTCTTAATCCTCAGGTCACCAGAGACAACAATGGGCTCTGTCCAGTCTGTCCAGGGAGTGAGCTGAGAAAGGGTCGTGGTCAGGCGTTGGACAGGTTGTGTCGACACCATTACACTGATGTGAAACTTCTTTCAGAGCTAGTCAACATAAGCCCTGGTTACTCCTGTACATGAGGGCGATCTCTCACATGATTTAATTTTGAGTGTGATGTTTGTGGGTTTTTATGAACAACAGAATTTGAGGCAACATCTGTAAGCAGTTAGAAAGTGTGATCCCGGTTACAGCTCTTGTAACATGAGAGATCAGTGATATACAAGATCAGGTATACAAGCATCTGCTGCACCCTGCTGTGAGAAGAATTTATAGTTAAGTTTAAGTTAAGTTTAAGTTTAAGTTTATTTACTTTATTAATCCCCCTGAGGTGAAATTCAGTGCCAAATGTAAGTGTCTTTACTGCCAGCTGATTTATGTTTACCTCAAAGCCCCCTGTCCTTTGACACTTGGGATGGACAATATTGGATTTTTTTCCCAATATATAACAACTTATTTGGCCGACAACTGAAGTTAATCATCCTAGGTATACCACTGAATAAATGTGCATCTGCAGTATTTAGATTCTTACACCAAGACGTCCTGAAACTGTGGCAAATGGTATTAACCCCCAAAAAAGCTGCAACAACATATGAGGCATAATTGAGCATGGGAATGTCCAGCATATACTTCCATCATAATGTCCCAAGTCCCTTTACCTATAGCTCTGGAGCCGGCTCTTTGGCCCCTCACTAGTGGCTCCCTGTGGCTTTTAAAAGAATCACATCGTTTACTTTTTGAAACATTTTATTTTTTATTTATCATTTTTGAAGGCCTAAAGAAATTCTTGCAGTCTCTAACTGTAGAAATGTGTACTTATAAACAGAATTTAAAAAAAAGTTTTTAACATTTTGTCAACTATATCTATGGCCTGATAACCTTTCCTCTGAATGTTGCTCGGGTCGTGTCTAAATGAACCTCAGTAATTGTAGCTGATCTTGAATCTCCTTAGCGAGGCTGGCTATAGACTCTGGGAGGAAACACATGTACAGAGGACACTATGAATGACACCTCATCTATGCAAGCATAGAACATACAGCAAGTATTAAGGTGTCCATGTGAGCCTATGTACACACAAATACTCACACTTTCAATCATGGGAAGCAATATTATAATACATATCTTTACAGTAGTTACAGTCACAGTTCTTCCAAATAAATCTTGCATTTTGTGCCATCCAATGGACACCACCCAATCCCCAAACAGGGGGGTCCTGATCTCCTTAATATGACTGGATGTTGGAGTGTTTTGGGAGATTTAGACCTATTAGTAATGTTGATATGTTTTTGATGCAATAGTCTGTGTAACCATCATAGTAGGACTCAAATATGTTTCTTAGGTCCAGACAGATTTTTTTTAAATGGCTCCTATGAAAGTAAAGGTTGACCCCTAAACTATAGCCTACACCCCAAACTCTAGTCTTCTTCATTAGGGTTAAACATCCTGTCACCCTCCAAAGAATAAAAAAAATGGGTGAAAATGTTTTTGTAGCTGTGTTTGTGACCTTTTCATGAACCAAGTTATGTGTTATATCTCGTCATTTGTTTCATCAGCTTTTCTATGTTTTGTTAAAAACCTACAAAGTGATGATTGCATTGCTTTTGCCTGACTGACGGGTGTCCCTCTAATTGGAAACGAGCGCACTGGGCACCGCCCATCCTAGCGTCATCTATCTCGTCTGTCTGTCTACAAACCAAACCTCACACTCCACTCAGCCAGCAAGGTAAGTTTGGACTTATTAAGACTACTTTTTACATGACTTCAAAAAAAAAGTTTTATTAGAGAGCGTACTAATTGTGACGGGTAGAAAAAAATAAGTATTAAAAACAGAGGTGATGAAAATGCACGTGAGTAATAAAATAGAGGTAAATTGTGAAATGGGGAAAAAAGTGACAGATTATCAGCTTTTTTGATTAATTTTATTTAATTTGATTAAAACATAATCATCATTTCTCCGTCTAACATTGATCATTCATTATTCACAAAACAAAATTGATCATGTAAGGGAGGTGGCATCGAGGGCGGGAGGCACAGAAATAATTAGAAACAAAAACGGAAGTAATGAATTCCTACACATTAATTATGGACGTAATGAAATAACCGTTGCTTTGATTATTAGTTGTGTCCTCAGCCTACCAGTCATTATTCACAACACCGAACTGACATTTATTGATTACAGCAGGGGTGTCAAACATATGGCCCGTGGGCCAGAACCTTCCAAAGGGTCCAGTCTGGCCCCACTCATTGGCTCTTATTCATGAAATGTTAGTAAGTCTGTGAGTGTATTTGCACCTTAAAAACCTCTGCACTGAAAACCTGGGCACCCTGCATGGTCAGTACTCAGTAGCGCCCCCTTTGGCAGGTATCACAGCTTCTAATCACATTTGTATCAAGCTCAGAGTCTTTCAATTCTTGTTTGGAGGATTTTCACTCATTCTTCCTGCAAAAGGCTTCTAGCTCTGTGAGATCATTTGGCCGTCTTCATGCACTGCTCTTATGAGGTCTGTCCACAGATTTTTAATGATGTTTAGGTCGGGGACTGTGAGGGAAGCCTTCAGCTTGCACCTCTTGAGGTCGTCCATTGTGGATTTGGAGGTGTGTTTAGGATCATTGTCCTGTTGTAGAAGCCATCCTCTCTTCATCCTTTTTTTTGCGTCCAGAATTTGCTTAAATATATTTGAATCCATTCTTCCCTCTACCTGTGAAATGTTCCCCGTGCCACTGGCTGCAACACAAGCCCAAAGCATGATCCATCCACCCCCGTCTTTAGCAGCTGGACAGGTGTTCCTTTTTTCTCCAAACATACCTTTGCTCATTGTGTCCAAAAAGTTCTATTTTAACTTCATCTTGTTTCCAAAAAGCATCAGGCTTGTTTCGATGTTCCTTTGCAAACTTTGGGCGCAGAATTTTGTGGTGAGGACACAGGAAAGGGTTTCCTCTGATGACTTGTCCATGAAGGTCATATTTGTACAGGTGTGGCTGCACAGTAGAACAGTGCACCACCACTCCGGAGTCTGATAAATCTTCCTGCAGGTCTTTTGCAGTCAAATGATGGTTTTGATTTGCCTTTCTAGCAATCCTATGAGGAGCTCTCTCAGGAACGTTTTCTTGGTCTTCCAGACCTCAACTGACCTCCACAGTTCCTGTTAACTGCCAACTGAGGAAACAGCTACTTGAAAACACTTTGCTATCTCCTTATAGTCTTCTCCTGCTTTGTGGGCATCAGTTATTTTAGTTTTCAGAGTGCTAGACAGCTGTTTAGAGGAGCCCATGGCTGCTGATTGACAGGAAAAGGTTTCAGGAGTCAGAGTATTCATAAAGCTTTGAAGTTTGCATCACCTGGCCTTTCCTAACGATGACTGTGAAAAAGCCAGAGCCCTAGAAAACTAAGTCTGGGACCCTGGTAGAAGCTGTCTGAGCTCAAATGTCTTCATGTGCCCAAACTTTTGCATGGTGCTCTTTTACTTTTTCACTCTTAAATTGTACAAAACAAAAATAATGCACTGATGTTGTTGAAAAACATGTTTTACCTTTCACTTCATGCCATGTGGAGATCTGCTGATCTTCTATTTACTAAACTATTCACAGGAAACAAAACTTTAACCAGGGGTGCCCAAACTTTTGCATGCCACTGTATGTTTAACATGATCTTTGAATGCAGTTTTTTTTGTTTAGTCTTTTATAGAGGCACATATCTCTCTGGGCAACTGGCAAACTGTGTACACTGAGATAGCAAAACTGGACAATTAAAGAATATTAACATCTGCAAAATAAACAGGGGAATGATGCAAGTGAAGCTTTCAATAAAAGTCATAGCTCAATCATAACTTGGATGACTATGGGTGTGGTATATTAAACGTTCCCTCCCATTTTTATAAGACTGTTTGTCTGTGCTTCTGCTCCTCAGTTTGTTTGTGTAAGGGAACGTGTGCTACCTCCCGGCTGTGATGGCAGCAGTAACAGACAAGGAGCCATGGTTTGCTGACCATGTGACTAAGGTGGCACTGCACATCTCCTGTGAGAATCTGCCGGATGTGGAAATGTTCTCAAAGTGTGACCCTCTGTGTGTGCTTTACATGAACAGCTCAGGACCTCACTGGTGTGAGGTAAGTAGGTCAAAAGGCCAAAATTATTTCAGTATTTCCAGTACTGGGAGACATTTATGAAGTGAGATACATCAACTCTATTTGCTGTAGGGATGCTGGATATTGGAGTTTTTTGCTGATATATAACAATTTATTTAGCTGATAACTGATTCCCATTTTGATATATCCACTTTTCCCCCACCCGATTTTAGTGATCATCAAGTCTCTTCTGTAGTGGAATTGACATCATATAATACATGCATACTCTGATCATGATGGCCCACCAGCAGATGGAGACATGAAATACAATACTTTTCAATATATGTAATATTTATTCATTGTGCAAAATAAGAAAAAACATGTTGGCTGATTCTGATAGTTTGTTTTAAAGTCAGTATCTGCCGATGCTGATGAAGGCTGCTTTGAGTCAAAAGTGTGTCTGACAGAGACTATGTACAAAAAAAGTCCTTTTGTGAAACATGTATCTGTAGATTGGCCGGACGGAGAAAATCAAGAATTGCCTTAATCCCAAGTTCTCCAAGACTTTTGTCATTGACTACTACTTTGAGATGGTGCAGAAGCTGAGGTTTGAAGTGTACGACATTGACAAGGAAGACCACAGTCTGCAAGATGCGGACCTCCTGGGAGAACTGGAGTGTACCTTGGGAGAGGTTAGCTTTGCTAGGTCTTTGCTTACTACAAAAAGTCTTTTTTTTTTTTTTTTTTTTAACTCATTTTTTATTTCACCTTCAGCATTCTATACAAGCAATACAGTTTTTACATAACTCACATAGTACTTAGAACTTTAATCATTGTACAAAGTTTCCAGCTGCCGTAACGTCTAACCAGATTTAAGACGAGTAAAAAAAGAAGAAAATTTAAGGAGATTTTAGAGCTCCCTTACTGCATTGACAAACTCATTATAGAGCTCCACCTCTTTATGAATTTTCTTTGCATCTTCTTAATCCAGATATTGTACATTGGAGGTTCAGGATCCAACCATCTAATTGTAATACATTTAATCGCAGAGAAGAGGATTTGTATAGGTACATTTTTGCCCTCCCCTCAAACCCTTCAGGGGTTGCTCTGAGGAGAATCACACTTGGATCTTTGGGGATATTTTGATGGAGCACTGCTCTCAGGGCATCTAACACACCCTTCCAGAAATTGCTTAACTTGGGGCAGGGCCAAGGAATATTAATGTGGTTTCCAGTTTGTGGGCCACATTTTCTCCAACACTTATCTTAATGGGATGGAGCCCACTTAGCTGGTACTTGTGGGGTTTGGAAATATCTTATTAAATCACAAATGCTTATTCGTCATGCTTCTCTCTCTTCATCAATGTTAAGCATTAAAAACAACGCATATTATTTTTTTTTTACTGTAGAATTATCATTTGAAGTGGTGTTTGGGCATTTTCAGTGAAAAGTATTTTTCTGTCCAGATTGTGTCCTCAAGGAAACTAACAAGACCACTTGTCATGACGGACAAGAGACCAGCAGGGAAAGGAACCATCACTGTGAGTTACTGTCATTTAGATTGGCAATGGCATTTAGAGCATTTAAGGATATTTTATTCTAAGTGTCCATGTGTTTCTTGGTGTATTTGCACTTTTGTGTCATTTTTCAACACAGTACTGTTTCATGTTTTATAGATATGTGCTGAAGAAAGAACAGACAACAGGGTGGTGGAATTCAAAGTTGCTGGTAGAAATCTGGATAGAAAGGTACCACCCAGTGTTACAAAATACACATCACTGATATCACGTCAGTCAGTCTCAACTGTTATTTTAGTTGCATCATATACTGCATAGGAAAGTGGTTAAGGAACTAATAACTTTTTTATGGTCTTATTTAAACAATTTTTTTTACAGTTAAGCATTTTGTGACCTTGCTGTGTGAAAGGCGTTTTTTTTTTTTTTTTTTTTTAAATAAACTTACTTTCTCACTAAAATGTGCATTATATGTACATAATTTTTGAAGTAAACGTGAACTACTGTATTTAGCGGCCCCTGTTCATCAAGCTTATTGTTTTCCTTATATTGATTTAGTTTTGGCAGCTGCCACAACATCAACATTAACCACCACTTACTGATTTTTCTTGTTGTAGTGGTTAAAATGGTATCTGTTTCTCAGACCACAAATGGGACATGAATTAGCAGGATAGCCACCCCACTCCAGCCTCACTCTCAGGGGATTATTTGCTGGTAGGAAAACAAATATTTAAAGGGGTACTACAGCCATTTTTTTTAATTCATACACATGGTCTCGATTGCTGGGGAAAGGGACGTCGAGGGTGCTTTGCTTGGCCTGCTGCCCCCGACCCGGCCTCGGATAAGCGGATGAAAATGGATGGATGGATGGATGGACGGACGGACGGACGGATGGATGGGTGGATGGAAAGATGCTAAGATTGCATCTAATTATACGTTGTCAGTAATTTATTTGATTCAGCTGCACATTATTTTCTTACCTATTTCCAGACTTACTTCAGTAAGTCCGACCCTTTCCTGGAATTCTACAAGGAGACAGAAACTGGATGGCAGCTCGTGCACAGGACGGAGGTACAGATAAACTCACTGTGTACCATGCTTAAAGCCATAACTAGAGGGTGTATTGAGAGATTGGAGTTCATACAGTTAATGCTTTACAACTGTCAAAGTTGTTTTTAATCTGTGCTGGTATACAGGTGGTGAGAAACACCCTAAACCCAGTATGGAAACCGTTCCGTATCCCAATGCAGTCACTCTGTGGAGGTGACATGGAGAGACCTACTATAAAGGTACACACACACACACACACACACACACCTGGACTGTAACGCATAGTGACTGATGACAGGACAGCCTTTTTCTTTTGTCTGTCCTCTTTCACGCTGCATTCCCTCATCTACTTATGTTGCTATCAGGAGGAAATTGGCCTTCTATCATTTGGCATATTCATTATTTAAAGGACCTCATGGGCGGAGACAAGCTATGTTTTTTAGGTGGAAGAAAAGTACTCAGAAGCTGCAGTATGCAGATTGTCTATCTCACACTAAAGGAGGTAGTGGGACCTTCCCCCCTCTGTCTGACTAATAGGAGGCTTGTGTGTGTGTTTCTGTTAGATATCTTAATATCAGGGTGTTGCCTTACATTTGAAGCTTCACTCCCAAAGCATGCTTTTGTCTCATCTGCTTTGATTTTCACACACTGATGATAGTTTATCATTTAAATATAAAAATATATAAAGCTATTAAGCTAAAGAGAATTGACTGAATTTGTAACTGTGTGTATTCCAGGTAGATTGTTATGACTACAACAGCAGCGGATCTCACGACCATATTGGATTATTTGAGACCACACTCTCTGAAATGCTGCAGGCATCACAAGCATATGAGGTGAACTCTCTCTCTGTATCACATATTTAAATCTGTGTTTTCTTACCGCATCTGTCTTGAGCAGAAGAGATCCCATGTTCATCGTCTCAATCATTGTGGGAGAGGCTAAATTTCATTTCAGCAATCAAGGCTACAGACACGGTATTGGTAAATAAACACACTCACTGCTGTATTCACTCATGCCGATGAGGACCTGATGATGCTTTATTGTCCAGGGGGAACAAAATGTCTAAACAAGCCACTGAGGGGTGAACGGGTGAACTTGTTTAGGACACGTGTTCTGGGCTAAGAATAAACCAATGTCCAGTGCATGTTATTTATTTGGATTGACCTTGTTGAAAAACATGTTTCACCTTTCACTTCATGCCTTTTAGAGACCAGTTCTACTTAACTCTACTCACAGTAAATGAAATTTTGAACAGGGATTCCCAAGCTTTTGCATGCCACTGTAATTTCATGTGACAAATAAAATTGAGTGACATTCAAAGTTTCCCTTTCTCCCCCATTCTGATGCATGGTTTAGACTTCAGCAGATCATCTCCACTGTGTCTACATGCCTAAATGCATCGAGTTGTTGCCACGTGATTAGCGGATGAAATATTTGCATTCATGAGCAGTTGCACAGGTGTACCTAATATAGTGACTGTATCTAACATATTCTGTATGTATGTTCCTGGCACTTGTGTGGTGTGTTTGTGCTCCTCTTCAGGCCAAGAAAAACAGGATGAAAGGAATCCAAAACTCTTGTAATATCATTATTAAACACTGCAAGGTACTGTGGTTTTATATACACTTTCTTTCTGAATTAAGTGGGGTTTTTTTCCACATGAAGTCAGTTGCACGATATTGAGTTGTTCAGATGACTTAAACAGTAGACCTGTCATGTTTCACACCACCTGTATATCTAAAACATTGTGAACAGATGTGTACAGTAGTTTTTATTGGGTTACATGTTGTAACTTTAACAAAATATAGCATGCAAGCTAAGAGTATGCACAGAGGTGGATATGCTCAACGCATTGTTTGTTCAATGTACTCCAAAACACCAGGGAGCCAGCAAACAAAATATCCTATGGATAAGCAAGTGGTCACTGTGCGCTAATGGAAGAACGCTGGCCAATAAGTAGGCTTCTAGGCAACGATAGTAAACACCAATGTACCAGCAAACATTGCATTTGTGTACTGTGATTATTACTGTCACTTACCTCCAAGTAAAATTATTTTATATCTCGTTATTTCCCTGTGGGTCGCGATTTTTTCCATGAGACTTTTTTAAAGCTTTTACAGCGATGTCTCATGCTCCTCCACACCATGCGGCATAAGCCTCTTCTTTCTCCAGTGTGGTGGGCTATTACTTTCCAAGAATTTAAGGCCATTTGACTGTCCCTGTGGTGTCTCAATGAGGTGCAGTTATTTGAGATCATTAGTGGTGTGTGTACAGGTGAACCAGCTCGGGCCAGTCTTCCCTGTATAACAGAAAAGTACAGCGTGCACAGTGGGCACCTAGTTAAAAGAAGTCAGAGGTGTTCAACCTAGAGCAACAACAAATTTCGAAGCCTTCTGCTCACTGTTGGTAAACAAGTCATAATTTGGCTTGCGCACCTTGCACCAAGGACACTACAGCGAGTATAAACCATGCTTAGAGGAAGGGTCACTGCAGATCAAACCAAATTTGTTCCGAGTGATCACCTTGATCCTGTAAAGAAATATTTCTATCCTGATGAGAGTGGTCTCCTCCAGGATGACAAAGCCCCCAGGTAAATGTACAAACACCACAACAGTGCAATACCTCAGCATATGTGTTGATGTATTGTTATTTGAACAGTTTGATAATTTCCTGTCATCAATATGTATTTTCAGATAGTGAAGGAGTATTCTTTCCTTGATTACATAATGGGCGGCTGTCAGATTCACATGACTGTGAGTATAACACTTTTTTTTTTAAAAAAATCTTAAATCTTTTCATGAATCTTTGAAGAAACAACAAAAAAATATCCCAAGGACCGGTTGCACAAAATACCATAAATTTCCTCCTTAATTATGACACTTGAGGCTTAATTTCTCCTTAGCGGAGGGACTTGCACAGTTGAACAGCAAGGTGTCCTTAGGTAAGTAAAAACGGTACTGCGTTTAAAGAGATTTCACAGTTTCCATGGAGACTGTTTGTTTTCTTGAACTCACACTTGTGATGCCTGGCATTGTCTCACACAGTTGGCTTATAGTTAGATAGTGAAAAAATGGCAGAAGAAAAGAAGACAAGAAAACCATATTGGTCAGAGGAGGAATAGATTATACTTTTGGAGGAATACAATCATACAAAGCACAGACTACAAAGTAAATCTGATCCCCAAATACCAGAAAACAGAAAATGACAGTAGGAAGAAACAACGAAAACTAATTCACTCAAGTGTATCCATTGGGTTCTCCTTGTCGCAGAACACTCCTCTTGGGGTGTGTTAATTTTTTTCATTTATCACCATCGGTCATGTTACAGTTAAGATGGAGTCAGGGGTACCTGAAGTTTTTTTTTATCTTGCTTTGGTTGCTAAGGTCTTTTGTGCAATGGTCTCAGGATTCCTTAAGTATAATATTAAAGTCACCAACAATCAATATCCTCTCATATTGGAAAATAAATCTGGATAAGCAGTCTGCAAACTCTGAGATGAAGTTATCATTGTACTTTGGTGGATGATAAATCACAGCAATCAAAACAACCGAAGGTTTGTTTATCATGAAAAGCTGTAATTCAAAGCTGGTGTAGGGATCACAATAAGAAATCACTTTGCATTTAAAACTGTCATTAAAAAGTGAGGCAACTCCCCCTCCTCTTCCAGTCAGTCTAGAGGAGCTGAAAAAGCTGCTGTCAGGAGGACAAAGTTCCATAAGGGGCGCTACTTCCCCATCACGCATCCAAGTCTCTGTGATAAACATTAAATCCAGAGCATGGGAGTTACAAAAGTCACGAAGGACAAAAGTCTTATTAGATAGGGACCGGGCATTCAGGAGAGCTATCTTGGCTTTTATCTCCTCATCAGCTGGTCGGGCTGTGCAATCCAGCAGACGCAGGTCTTCCACACACACACCGCCAATCCTGCCCCGCCTCCTCCGCACACAGAGCTGTGACAGCTGATCAAGCTCCACCAAAATCAAGACAAGGAGAAGACCATAGATACTTAAGTGAACATTCTAATGAAACCTTAAGGAGAAAGACTTAATGGTGTTTTGTGCAACCAATTTTATTTTGATGAAACCTTGAGTAGCACTTTAAGGAAAATCTTAATTTAAGGTGTTTTGTGCAACCAGCCCCTGATATTTAAATCTTCATGTTTGTTTTTTTAATTGCAGTGTCTATTGGATATTTAATGTGTTCAGGAAACATTTATTATGATGTAGTCAGTGTTATTTTATTTTATATTCTCTGTATTCATTCCTCCAGATTGGTATTGATTTCACAGGATCCAACGGGGATCCCAGCTCCCCCAAGTCCCTCCATTACATCAACCCTGAGGGCTGTAATGAGTACCAGGCAGCTATCCGGGCAGTGGGAAACATCATCCAGGACTATGGCAGGTAGCAGAGATTATTATACATAAAGTATTATGTTGGCTATCATCGTTTAGAGGAACAATATGCATAGTTGTGTGTTTTCGTTCCTATAGCAAATTAGACAGACAGACAAACTTTCAATTTTTAGGACAAGTTTGATAGCAAGATGTTGCATGAAATACACTTGGATACACATTTAATCCAATGTTTCAATGGTCCATGTCCCTGCTACCAGCAGGCAGTTTGTGCCCAGCAGAAAATTAAGTGCAGAGGAGTGTTTCACAAAGCGGGTCTTGGTTTTTAACCCAAATTTTTCTAAGTTAATTCATGTTTTAGGTGCTAAAATTCACAAATGTACAGCTTTTAAAGCTGTGAATTCAAACCTGACTACCAGCAAGGTATTAGCTATATTATAAATAAAATAATGTCAGTATTTTGCCATTTAGCTTTAAAGTATTTTAACCCATCCACACATTAATGTCAGTGAGACAGGCATTCAGAGCATGCAGTGCATCAGGGGCATTTGGTGTGACAGAGACATACAGTCATGTGTCGTCAGCATAGAAATGGTAATCAATGTGGTGATGGCTAATGACATTTCCAAGTGGAAGCATATATAATGAAAGCAAGACAGCTCACTTACTCTGACAGCAACTGACACATACTCAGTAGGCTAACATTCTTTATTACCGCCTTAAAAATTATAAGCCTATGTAAAATATTACTGTGTATAAATCACAAATATGAATCATTCCAGCTGAGGACAAAACTTAAGAAAACAATTAGTATGAATAAATAACTCAGTCATTTGCAGAAGGAAAAATCACAACAGCACACACACAAAAAAAAATCTCATCCTTTCCATACACTGTGACATAGACAAGTCCCCCTACTGAGAAAGCCCAGTCAGCTCTTACCGGTCAGCTCTTCTGGGTCTTCAGCATCTGCACTCTCACCATCTCTGCACCCTACTTGCAGCTTGTGTAATGACTATGACGAAGTATAGCAGTGCTTTCTACTGTGAAAAATAATCAATAAAAGCTTCTAAACCAAAATCCTCACAACCGAACATGTTCTAGCAATAATCTGATCCCACATTGGGGAGAAATTAACAACATCTGCAACCAAGATTATAGGTTGCCCTAATGCTAGCATGTGGCTATATGTAACTGTGTGTGTACTGTAAGATAAACACTGGCAGTAATTTGCCTGGAACAGATGATAGTTAAAAGAAATCCTGGTGTCAGCTCTTACATCTCAGCTCTCTGCCTGTATTTTTTTCTTATTTGCTATGACGTCGAGATTATGCCCAAGACCTGGGACTCCAGTGTAATCCCTTGTATATGTCAATTTACTTGGACACAGTAACACCTGTTTTGTTTCACTTCCTGTAGTGACAAGATGTTCCCTGCTTTTGGATTTGGAGCCCTGATCCCTCCTTCTGGGCAGGTGATTGTTTGTGCTAATTAAAACATAGTTGAATGATTGATGTGGGATCCAGATTAATAGGTGTTTGTGTTTGCAGGTCAGCCACAAGTTTCCCATCAACTTCAACCCATCAAATCCATCTTGTGCAGGTAATAATAGACTGCCGCTGATGTGAGCTCACTCTGCTGTGTGTTTAATGAGACAGACTGGGACATGTAGGGCATTTGGCTGTTGACAAATTTGGTTTTGCACAGTATGACATGAGATTGGCATCATTTGTTCTTCTGCGGTAGAAGCAAAAGCATACTTCAGCGACAAGAAGTGGAGAAATGATTAGTCGGAGATTAGTCATTAGAGTAAATTAGTCAGTCATGTAAGTATTTATAGACAACAGATTTGATAATCAATAGGTGTCCCGAGTCATTTAGCAAGCAAAAATGGATTTGCAGCATGTATCTGTTTTATTGTTGATAGAATGAACGGTGTATCGATCACTGAAAAAACTGTACCAAAAAGATCAGTCACTTCTCTAACATAATGTTTGTTTCAACATTTAACCAGAAATTAAAATTGCTCAGCAGTCTGTCCTCGGTCCTTGAGTTGACCATCTCCATTTCCAGTGGTGCTGAATTAATTGGAAATATTTTTTAAATAATTCTGTAAGACTTCTGTTCACCTGCGTGTGTGTTTTTAGGTATAGAGGGTGTGCTCCATGCCTACCAGCAGTGTCTGCACAAAGTGAGGCTTTACGGTCCCACAAACTTTTCCCCAATCATCAACCATGTAGCCCATTTTGGCCGGCAAGCCATGCAGCAGGAAACTGCCTCTGTGAGTTACTGGAAGTCTTAAATCAATCAGAATGCTGTAATTGTTGCTGTATCAATCGATCCTACATTATTCACTATTTATTGTGTCATTCCCTTTTATTTCGATGTTTCACAGCAATACTTTATTCTGCTGATCATCACCGATGGACTGAGCACAGACATGGATGAGACTCGCAAGGCCATCGTCAACGCCTCTCATCTGCCCATTTCAATCATCTTTGTTGAAGTAGGGAGAGCAGACTTCAGTGACGTTGAGTTCCTGTATGGAGTTGATGGAGTTGTACGTACTGCAGCAGGCGAGGCTGCCATGCGCGACATTCTGCAGTTTTTGCCTTTCAGGCAGTTCCAGAACGTAAGAATTTCTGCCTTGAAACTGCATTTGACCAAAGACAGTCTCAAAAACGGTGGTTCAGACAGCCAGGGTTTCATACGTCACATTCCTAAGGAACAAATCCTTTCAACTTGCGGGGTGGGGCTTTCCATATCAGTAGTATAATGCTATGGAGACATGAGTTGTATCAGAGGAGAAGTCAAGTGTAGCTACATTCACTTTCACTTCAACTCACATGTGGCATTCGGGATCAAGGTGTATCTAAAGCCCAGTTCAGAGTAAAGATTCGCGACCATGAGTCAAAGACGTTTTAGAACGTTGCAGAGAAAAGTTGCAGTGGTATGAACTGACCAGTCTGAGCTCAACTGAAGTCAGCTGATGGTGCCACCGGCAACTTAGCTGGTCAAATCGCCGGCGGCTGGTTTTAAAACGTAAAGCACGTCACCTGTTCGAATGGCCAGTCAGCTTGTAGTGAAGTCAGCTGGTCAAGTCCAAATGACTGCAGATGATGTGTTCGCTTGCTGCAACAGGTGCTCCATCTCCACTTAGCCCTCTGTCACACACACACACACACACACACACACATACACACAAAAAGTTAGAGGAGCTAGGAAATACTTGGATTGATAAATTACACAAGGCTAGAAGAGTAGCAGAGGTTCAATGTACACTTGGAATAAACTTGCCATTCTGTGTGGGGAAGCAAAACACGCATATGATGTAGTGAGTGTAGTAGTCAATGCCTACTGATGAAAGGGATAAACAAAACATATGTTTTTTTGTTGTTTTTTTTTTCTGTCTGGAAGAATGTTGGACAAACGGCAACTTCCAAAATGCTCAACCCAGCATTCATTCTTTGGCAGACTGTCCACAACTGAAAGGGAATAACCATGGGGACAAAATTGTCTTTCTAAAGAAGAAAGCTGTTTTTTTTCTGCCTCTGTATTAGACGCAGGCAAGGATTGCCACAGGCGCTTGTTTCTCATATCACCAAGGAGCTGCAAAGACATTGAACATCCCAGGAAACATCACGTGTGACACCAGCTTCCTTAGAATTATGTGGTCATACAAAGGGCGGTAAGGACAACCGCTTTCTGTCCATTTTACATGTCCAGGTGAAGTCCACCATATAATACAAACTTATGCATTTCTGGATCCTGGCAGCACAGCTACAGTCTGTCCAGAACATCTCATGCAAGAGTTGAATTTTACCAGTAAAAGAGCCAGTGGTCTTTTGCGCACTACTGGACGGGAAAGGGCTTTTTCAACTAACACCTTGAAAGGTTTGGAGGTGTCTGGTCTCAACGGTAATTTCTTTTACAGTCCGCCAGCAGTTCTTACACAAAAGAAATTGCCTGTGACTGCCAGCAATATTGCCACACAGGAAGAGTTGGCAAAGTGGTCATTCTTCTCTGATGTCCAGATTCCCCACATAAAGGCCAGTGTTGACATGTTGATTGCTACCAAACCCTTGACATACTGGAACCCTAAGAGTTGTCAACAGCCGTTGAAACGGCCTATATGCTGTAAGAATTGTATTAGATCGGATGGTTAGTGGTCCACTCTGCAGCTCCTTGTGGCTCTCGGCCACTTGGCAGATTTCTGGAAACATTCTAAGAAAAGAAAGGCTTTATGCGCTCTGTGCATCTGCGAACAAAGAGTTTTGTCTTTTGTAGAAGGCTGCAAGCTCTTTGGGCTGGACAGTCAAATATTGACCTCCAACTCAAACACGGCTTGGTGTATACATGGTCTGTTTTGTCTCCATACAGTTGTATACATGTTACATCCATTTTGGCTCCTTGGGTTTGAGTTTAAATCTAATGTTTGCCTGCTTCAACAATCAGGGGCTGGTGTGTTGGAGCCATTTTTGTATTGTGTTCATTAGTATGTGTCTCTGTAGACTCACAAGTCAGTCTTTAGACGCTTTGCTTAACTATCAGAAGGCGGAGATCTCTGATTGTCTGGTGGTGAGATTAGTGTCTCTGTGAGGTATGTTTTTCACTTGTCGTAGTTCCCTCTTTGGACAGTAGGTGGTATATGGAAAGTGCAACAAGTGAAGGAGTAATCACAGACGGGGTGTGTTGTATACTGGAACAGGCACACAGCTTCTTTACCGCCACATGTAGTATGCCATGGAGTCATCTGTTTATTTGCATGTAAGTTATTAATGGATATATGTAAGTGCTTGCAGATCGCCTTCCAAACTGTGGATAGGCCTGTTGGTCTAAAGATAAATTCTCTTGAGTGTGCCTAAATCTGAACTGTGAACTGTTCCACTGACATGCTGCACAAAGGCGACGCGTCAATTTGGAAAGTACCGGCACAGCAGCCCTTCAGTGGCTTGTAGGTTTCTTACAAGCCAAGCCATCACTGCAGAAATTTAGCAGCTCAACTGCCTTATTAAAATGATATATTTACTTTATAGAAAGCTTAAAAGCTTGAAAGTTTTTTTCAAAGCTTCTGACAAACTTTTTATTAGGCCCGTAACCATGGGAACATGAGCAGTTGCTTTAAGACTGGCAGTAGGATGAGATGTAAAATAGTAGAGTGCTTCTGCTGTCAGTGTTGAAACATCTGTTTGCAAAAAAATATGCCATGTTTATCTATAGCTACATTTAGTTCCCCTACTGTCTCCCTCTACATCACCTATATGTATTTCAATTAGGAGACACAGACGAATGATGTAAAGACAATGTTTAATACAGAATATGAGTGTACAGATTAACAGATGCTTTGTGCTGATTAAGATTTAACATAAGTCTTTTGCGCTTGGACACCAGAGGGAGATATTTTGTGATCGAGGGACATCTGAGTGGCAACAGGATGAATCCCCCCCAGGAGTCCAGACACTGGTGGTGGTGGTGGCTGCTGACTCTGAGGCTGAGCATGAAAAGTATTGTCTTCCTGACTGAACTTTTGCTAGAGCTTCGTTTATCACTCTCACCTTGTAACTCTGTCTCTACTGCTTCTCTGCAGTGTCCTCATGAAGTGCTTGCTCAGAACATCTTGGCAAAAGTCCCAGCTCAGGTGGCAAGCTTCTTCAATACCATGGGTTTGAGGCCACCCTGCAGTGACAGACCTCCTCCTGACCTCTCAGCATCTGCCTCCACAGTGATGTCTCCTGAGGACAACATGCAACATCCAGCCTGCAATGATGTGTAAATACTATGTAACAATAGCAGAAAGCCATAGTCATTGTTATTTTCAAACATGTCCCAACATTGGTTAATATGTACTTAACAGATATTTGATCAATGAGTTTTTATTTGACACATGTAAGCGTATCAGGTACTGGTGAAATGCAATCCCACCGGATTCCTCTCAAGCTAGGATTTTTAAGAAGACTCAAGATCAGGACCCTCTCAACCTACAAATGATCCCATTCCTGTTTGGATCTCTGCCTGAAGCAACTATCACTACTCAACATGTTCTGTAAATACTCCAAAGCTATTTAAGTCCTATCTACAAGACAGGGAATACTTTGTTTCCAGCAGCTACATATCTGATCGATCTAGCATGACATTTGGAGTTCCTCAAGGCTCCATTCTTGGACCTCTGTTTTTTAACCTGTGCATGCTCCTTTTATGTTGTGTTTACACCAGGTGTGAATGAAACAGTTGACGTGAGTGAATTACTTTTAGAGTCAACGTAAAGACGCAATTAGACACAAATTTCTGCTGGGTGGCACAATGTACTTGATGCTAATGACAGGAAATACGCAAATTAAGTGGCATGAATGAAGCGAGTAGCACAATTTTGCATCTTAATCACAAGAGTTGAAAAATCTAAACTTCAGCAACCAATTTGTGCTGCGATAGCCAATCAGTATCGAGATCCTCTGGCAACATATGACGCAGAGGAAGTTCTTTCGTCCATTCATGCGCGTATGACGTGAGATATTCGCACGTATGAAATGAGTCAACAGAAATATATTCTAGTGTTCAAACTTGTGCGAGTAAGGCAAAGTAAAAATTTGCGTCATGTGTGGTGTAAACACAACACTAAGCATAATCTTATAAAACAATAATACTACTTATCATAATTATGTGGATGATACTCAACTTTAGCACTTTCACAGACTGACTGCTCCAATACACTTGCTGCATCAATGCATTGACCAAATAAACAGCTGTGTGAACCATAATTTTATTAATTATTTATTATTGTTAATTTTTCTTCTATTAAATAAAGACCAAACTAAAGTGCTGTCTTTGGTGCTAGAGAAGAATGGCTAAACATGGAGGCTTATCTTGATTCAATTTCTTTTCAGTCAACAAGCCAAGTCAGAACTTTTTTGTCAACTATTCTGATCTCAATTTCAAGTCAAGAACAATGTCACCCTATTGTCACCTTCAGAATATAGCGTGACATCAAAGATACATGTCTAAACTGGATCTAGACAAGCTAATTCATGCCTTCATCTCAAGAAGTTTCGACTATAATGGTCTTAGGTCTTTCAAAGAAAACACTAAAGCAGCTTCAGCTCATTGAGAATGCAGCTGTTGGAGATTTCATCAAGACTAAGAAAGCAGGTGTCTGCACTAATTACCAGTCAGTCATAGAATGGACTTTCAGATACTGCTGGTTGTGTATAAATCATTCACTCGCCGAGAATCTAATTACATTTTTGACCAACTCATTAGGAACTGATCAGCTAACTGTTCTGCTGCTTTGACTTATTTTGCCGTTCATTGTTGGAACAAACTTATAAAAGACCTTATATTTGCACCAAGTGTAACTACTTTTAAAAACAGGCCAAAGACTTTATGTTCATATCTGCCTTTTGAATTGAAATTGCACTTTAATTTAGCCTTTTTATATGTATATTTTTAATGGTATCATAATTATAATTTATATATTTTTTTTACGTTTTGCTTCTTTTATACTCCTGAGACCCAAACTTTTCTTTGGTAAGCATTTTTACTATCTCCTAGCTATTTGGGATTAATAGGACCTGATAAGTATAAAAACTGAAACATTGTCATGGATAATAAAGTCACAAAGTCCTTCAGCAAGCTGATGATAAATTCCCATTGTCTTCAAATAAGCAATCTCATATTAACAGCATCTAACAGATACAATTTTACATGTAAATGTAAAATTTGTATGGCATATCAAACTAAAAATGTTATTAATCACATCCTCCTGACACTCTGTGTCCTCCTATGATGACATTACAGTGAGTTTACTGGACCTTAGACTTCATTCTGCTTAACTTAGACCTGTTGCCATCCTGATATGACAGTGGACAAGGTACAAAACCTGATCAGATTTAATGGTTGAACTATTTATCCTCCTGAGACCCTGCATTCCCGCATGAGGACATTACATTTTGGGTTTCCTGCACTTTAGACTTCATTCTGCTTAACTTATACCTGTTGTCCTTGTTTGTGGACACTTACGCTTATGCTCAGTCTACAGCTCATCCCGACACAAAAGTGGGCAAGGTACAAAATCTGATTAGAATTTTATGTCTGTTGTTTGATATGGCATACAAATGTTATCAACTTTAGTAATAGTAATGAGCTAAAATGCTGTTCATTAGGAAGTACTCGCTTGAGGACACTGGGACTTTATTATTGTATTATCCCAGCATTTCACACAGGGCAATTACATATGTGACGGACTGTTCCTACAGGAAAATAGGACATTTGCAGACTGGAATACAAAGTGGGGAAACTTTAATAGAGAGTTACAAAATGAATAAATCACGAGGTTTTTAAATAAGCTGCATTGTTTGCAATTTTGTTTTTGCACATCCATGTTCGGCCATTGAAATTAACCCATTAGATCAGTTTTGGACCTGAGCAATGACCTCTAACCCTCACAGTTACAACACATTAAACAGCTGTTGCATTTTTTGTAATTTTGTTTTGGCACAACAATGTTCAGGTATCAAAATAAACTGTTCTATAATCTATTACATGCTTGCAACTACTAAAAAAAGACCCCTAGTCTCCATATGAGGACATCTTTTTATACTTATGACATCCTACATTCCAGTCAGAAATTAAAAATGCATACCAAATAAAAGCTGGGGTCTCAGGGATGCTCTCTTTATGTCTGACTACATCAGCTTTGACTAAATCCTGGTTGTAGGCTTTGTGTATGGGTGAAAGGCCTTTGGTTTCACTGCATTACTTTCTCAAAGTGTAACACAATCCCACTTTTCTCATATGTAATCAAATCTCCACTTTTGTAGCTGTGTTTGTGGCCCTTTTGTAAGCCTAAAGATGGATTATATGTCACTAGCTGCTCTCTATATTTTGTTAAATACTACAAAATGATAAAAATGTTGAGTGTTATGCTCTGCTCTGCTCTGCTCTGACTGACGGGTGTCCCCCTAACTGGAATCGAGCGCACCAGGCACCGCCCACCGCAGCGCGAGCTCCCTCTCCACGGTTGTGTTACTGCTACATATCAAACGACACAGGACTCACAGCTAACGTCAGCCAGCTAACAAGGTACGAAGACTCCCTTGTACATTATGTTTTTTCACTGTCACCATAAATATATATCGTTAAACATGACGGTTTTATTTGCTAACGTTACTACTTACTTATGGGACTGAAATGTAACGTTAACGGTCAACGTTACGTTGCCTATGTTTTACTTAAAAGGCGTTAGCTCGTTCAAATTAACATAAGCTAACGTTAGAAAAACCCCGTAACACTCTTACGTTGTATATTTAACAGCAGTGTAACCGTTGCTGACGGCTGTTCTAACGTTAGCTAACGTTTAGACATTCGCGTTAGTAACGTTATGCCCCCACAGCTCGGTCCGTTAGATTTCCTTCCATCAAATTTACTTTACATAACTACGTAACATAAGTCAGATCTCTTGATAATGGACAGACCACACAATCAAAGTTAATGTTTTACTTTGATTTGACACGTAACGTTATCTATTGAAAGCCTCAGCTAACGCTAGCCCAGTCTTGGACGATCTCATCCACAGGATAGCCAGGAAAAACCCCACCGCTGTTTGGCACTGCGCGTAGCTTCATTTAAATCTTACATTTTATTGAAACTAAAGGGGCAGTAAGTGCATAATGTGTTGGCCGAATTTACCAAACAACCCGTACGAATCATCTAATCTCCTTGTGTTATACAAACAGTACTTTTATTATTTATCAAACAATGAATAGCATGATCTTTGAATGCAGTTTGGCGTGTTTGCTTGGTTCATAGGCATGCAGTTAACTGGGCGTGTCAGCTGCCAGACTCTGCACACTGAGATAGCTAAACTAGTCCAGACAGTCTGTTCTTCAGACCCGGGGAGAATAGCATAGTTATCTTTCAAGATTTTTGTGATCCGTGGGGACATCCAAATACAGGCCAGCCAGGACACATAAAGAGTGGGACAACATTTGCCAAAGTGGGCTCTTCATTCACACTCATGCCAAGGGGGGAGGGGCACAATCACATACCACTGTGCAAAATCAATCATGTTTCCACATGTGTGTCCTGGGCTGAAAAAAAGCCCTCAAATGAATGATTACGGAAAAGTCAAATCAAACATTGATTGAGGAAATGACCGCAAAGTGTTTATTCAAAAGAGCAAATCATAAGTGACCAAATAGGAAGGGATAGGCGATATGGCCCTAAAATAATATCACAATATTTCAGGGTATCTTTGCAATAATGATATTCTTGATGATATGACAAATAAGTCAAAAAATATTTTATTATTCATATAAGAAAAAAGAATTGCAACAAAATAAGTGATATAGTTTTACAGTTTCCCTCAAATATTCAGTAAAAACTAAACAAAAATTATCTCTCATTTCTTTAGTTTGTAAACAACAGTAACTCAGAGTGAGATTCAGATTCCGTTACAATATTAATAGTTCAACAAAATAAAATCTACCACAAATAACACATTTAAACAGCTCCCAAATACAAAAATGTCCCCTGGGATCTATATATATAAATCAACAAGTGATTTCCTTCTTTTAGTAAAATCCTAAATTATTGAGTTGTTGTTTTTTCCACCTGGACCTTTATGCTCTGCCATTTGTCCTCTAATCATCACGCTGTAACCTGTGACAGGCTGTTATGATACCACAACTATCACACAGTCACATGTTTGTTGTTTTTTGTCGAGCCATGAGGTCTACATTACCAAAGGTTTATGACAAAATCACTTGATGACACCGACTCCTGTGTGCACAACGTGAGAGGAGAGGGAGAGACGTTGTCTCTGACAGTAAATACCACACTACTGAAGCTGCTCCTTTTTTTGGAGCCACTGCAGAGTCTGTAATACTTTCACTTTCAGCCATGCTTGTTGTTGCCGTGGGTAACAGTATGACATCAGTGTCAGTAAGTGGAAATATCACCAGTATCACAATATGAATCAGGTGAATGAGATGATATGGCACACCCCTACAAATAGGCCTAATATTTTTTCTTCATTTATTCATTCAATCTTGAGGCTACTTTAATCAAATAATGCTCACATTGCATGCTGAAGTGAAACAGGGCAAAGAGTATAGACTGTTTAGGGACCCCAGTATGCACAAATATTTAAATACACATTTTAAATAGGGCAATGTTTCTTTTTTCTTGCCAAAATTTAGCGTAATTTTGGAGCGTTATTTGGCCCCCTTTCCAACAAGATAGCATAACATGGTTGGTACCAATGGATGCCTTAGATCGTGTCATTTGACATGATACCAGTGTCCCAGTGTCTTCACTGTAGCTTTAAAACTGAGCCTGATACGAGAGATTTTGTTTTGCTAAAAATTATTCTGCCTCACTTCTCACCATCAGCTCTGCCTGTCATACCTGCTGCTTCTTCACATTTCTTTTGCCAGACATTTGCCCATTGCCTCTCTTCTCCTTTCATTGTCTTGTTCTCTCTGTACCCTGACTTTTCCTTTTGTGGTCCCTGATTTTTGGTGAAACATTCAGACTGTGCTGGTCAGGCTGCAGTTCGCCTCACATGTTTACATTAACACTGCTTGTGATTTCTGCGCATCACGCAACTAACCCACTCTGTCAGATGGACTGAACCATTTCACAATACCTGCAGGGGGTGGGAGCATCAGATGGCATGCTGAAATGTGTTTTAGTGATTAGAATACATTTATTTATCATGTAGATACATATAACTTGCAGTGATTCAAGTCAGTGATTAAACTGTTGCGCTTAATCCAATTTAAAGGTCAACCATAGACCTTTTCATGGCCCCCCCTTGGCCTTTGGGACGGTGTCGTCTGTATCTTTTGACCCGAGCGGGCTGTCCAAATAACATATTTAAAGTATGCCATTGTATACTTAGTGGATCAAGGTAAATTTAGGGGTCAAAATCTGGGGCATTTGTGTCACAGCGTCACACAAAGAAGTGCATATCTCTGCCTCTGAACACTGTTCATTGTTTATTAAGAATCCCCGTGCTAACATGCTGTTTTAATATCCTTTATGTCTATACATTGGTTTCTAGGGTGTTCCTAGAAATCATATTATCACTGAATTTTCTGCACATACAAACTTGTCTTTGTAATATGTTTCCCCCCCATGAAAACCATGATGCATATTAGCACTCAGACTGAAACATTAAATGAGACCAAGTTTGAAACATGCCTCGACTGTAGGCCTACATATAATCTTATGCTACCATATTTGGGCAAACACCTGTACAGTTTGAACAGGCAAGGTAGCAATTAAGTCCTCGATAATGGCATTTACAGCACAAAGTTTGGCATCCTGGCTTACATTTTCAGTGCACAAGCTCCAACAAGAATTAATGAGCAGGGCTTTGGCCAGAATCAATGGGATTGAGGCATGAGTCTTGGATCCTACAGCCCCGGTGGTAGCAAGTTTCCCATCCATATCTGAACCTGATGATACACTCTGAAGCTGTGAAACATGGCAGGGTGGAGGGTAGATAGTCATTTTGCTGTATATATAAATATTTAAGTGTTTCTTATTGCATTGATTGATACTTGAAAAATCCCCCTGTGAAATGATTATTGATTATTGATCCCCATAGGGAAATTCATGCTAACCCATCCTGACTGTTGGGTAGGAGCAGTGTGGAGTGGTACTGTGCTAGGTGTACACAGACCCTCCAATATTAATAGAGTTGTACCGATACCGATACCAGTATCGGAAATGCCTCCGATACTGCCTAAAATGCGATATCGGGTATCGGCGAGTACAGCCTAAGACCAATCCGATACCACGTAATGCCTCACATCATTACGCATACGTACGCTACAGGCAAATGAAATTGAAACGGAGTGGAGTTTAAAAAACATTCTACTGTAGCATTTAAAATGTCTTTTTTACCAAATTGTGTAGCTGCACTTTAACCTGTGTCTTGATCTGTATCAACACTGGATAATAATAATAAAAAAAGTTTTATGGCATTCATTCTATTATTATGTATTCATTTCTCAATATTTTACAGTAGTTTTAGGAGTTGAGACATACAACAATTCATATCCCATCCATTTTTATTTTACGCGCTGGTATCGGAACGGTACTCGGTATCGGCAGATACCTAAGGTTCAGGGATCGGAATCGGTATCGGGAAAGAAAAAGTGGTATCGGTACATCTCTAAATATTAACACCATTTTACCCAGACTGTGTCACTGTAAAACGCTTACACTTTGCTTTTGACCTTTAAACAGAATGTTCCACTAAATCCATGATGGTATCCTTTTATATATGATGCAGGAGTGTATTTGGACCAGTAAAAACTATGACACACTACTCTTGCAATTTCTCCTGGGTTGGGCCCTATTTTGAGCTAGACTGCTTGGACTAAACTGACTAAATGAAACTGCAGCTATCAGTATAAGTTTGAAAAATTAAGTTTGCTCTTATTCACAGTGACATCGAGTGACAGACAAGTCAAAAGTGATTACACAACATAAAATACAAAATTAAAAACAGGGAAAAGCCTACAGAACACAAGATAAAAACAGAAAATCAGTGAAAACAGTTACACATTCATAAACAGTGGTTTGTGATCATGGTTTTAAACTTTGCATAGTTTGACTCCATGGATCAGGAGTGCTAAGGAAAAGGCAGACTTTAAAAGCCAGTCATTTGACCAAGTTTGATAGGGTTCAAAGTCATAGCTCAGTTACAACTTGGATGGCTATGGGTGTTAGTAGTGCTGGGCGGTATGACCAAAAATTTATATCACGTTTTTTTTTTCAAAAATATATCGGTTTCACGGTATATGACAGTATTTTTTTTTTTTCATGCACGACTGGGTGTTAACCACATTTTCTAATGATTTAGAGAGGAATTGCTGCAGTAAATTGGCTTAGAATGGCCTATTTTACTGTCATGAGGAGTGAATATTGTAGAAAAAAATTAATGTCCACGCTAGTATTAATACAGGTTTGCATGGCCTCACAAAATGATGCTGTTTACAAAGAGGTGGCACTCATGATTCTAATGAAGTGAAGGAATCAGAATGCATGACAGCGGTACCATGTCTTTGGCTAAGTGGATAGTGATAGCGTTGGTAATCTCAATCCACCGTTTGCTTTTCTTGTCGTAGGCAGTCGCCCTAGCAAACGCGTCTTTAAGTGACATCTGACTCAACTTTTCTCTTGCAGTGCTAATGTTACCTGCAGACGTGGAGGATGGAGGACGCAGATCTTAGTTTCATGCATTCTTGATATTCCAAGACATGTTTGCGGCTGAGGTGGCGAAGCAAATTGCTCGTGTTGCCTCCTGCGGCTACAACTTTAGCTCTGCAACATTTGCAGAGAATTGTTGTTTGATCGATGTCAAGTTCTTCTGTGTCATGTTCTCATTCTGGAACTTCAGTTTCGGAACTTTCACTGTTTTTATCCATCTTCACCGGTCAACACGCCATTGTGCCCTCACATACTTGTTTAGTGCAACTGCAAAACAGTTCCCTGTCAAACAATGTCCTGCGGCGCTACGTTCTGCCGCGCAGCGTTCCCAGCATTGTGTATGCTACATAGTCCCCGGTATTGGGGTATATGAAAAATTCATATCATAAGAAAAATAAACACCGGTATTCGATACGAACCGGTATACCGCCCAGCACTAGGTGTTAGAATGTTAAATGCTCCCTTCCATTTTTCTAAGATCTGTGTTTGTGTTCTTCAGTTTGTGTGTGAGTAGGTGTGTGTCCTCCCGGCTGTGATGGCAGCAGTAGGAGCCCCGGGGCCAGCGGTCAGTGACTGTATGACCAAGGTGGCACTGAGCATCTCCTGTGATAATCTGCTCGACATGGATACCTTCTCAAAGTCTGACCCTCTGTGTGTGCTTCACATGAACAGCTCAGGGCCTCACTGGTGTGAGGTAAGTAGGTCAAAAGGCCATAATTATTTTCACTTTTCAGAATTTGAAGTATTTCCAGTACTGGGAGACATTATGATAACTTAACTATATTTGCTGCCATTTGGAAATGGAAGTGCCAGGCTGCTTTGAGTCACAAGTGTGTCTGACAGAGACTATGTACAAAAAAAGTCCTTGACTGTGAAACATGTATCTGTAGATTGGCCGGACGGAGAAAATCAAAAACTGCCTTAATCCCAAGTTCTCCAAGACTTTTGTCATCGATTACTACTTTGAGATGGTGCAGAAGCTGAGGTTTGAAGTGTACGACATTGACAGTGATAACCACAGTCTGCAAGATGCGGACTTCCTTGGAGAACTGGAGTGTACCTTGGGACAGGTTAGCCCCCTTTGCTTACTACAAAAATCATCACAAATTCCTACTTATTATGCTTCTCTCTCTTCATTGGGGTTAAACACATATTAGTGCTTTTCTTTCTCCAAGAATTATCATTTGAAGTGGTATTTGGGCTGTGGCATTTTCAGTGAAAAGTGTTTTTGTGTCCAGATTGTGTCCTCAAGGAAACTAACAAGACCACTTGTCATGAAGGACAAGAGACCAGCAGGGAAAGGAACCATCACTGTGAGTTACTATAGTTTAGATTGGCAATGACATTTGGAGCATTTAAGGATATTTGATTTTAAGTGTCCATGTGTTTCTTGGTGTATTTGCACTTTTGTGTCATTTTTCAACACAGTGCTGTTTCATGTTTTATAGATATGTGCTGAAGAAAGAACAGACAACAGGGTGGTGGAATTTGAAGCTGCCGGTAGAAAACTGGATAAAAAGGTATCCTGGGTATCTGAATTTTGTTTAGGAATTTACAAATAATAAAATATTGTAGATGATCCTACTGGAGTTAAAAAAAAATCTGAATGGCTACTGTGGTTTTTGCTACTGGAGATAAGTTTTTATGATTAGAAAAACATTCTGAAATTTTGTATTTTCTAATTACTAAGTAGTTCATTTAATCACCTGCACATTCTCACTTATTTCCAGGATTTCTGGGGCAAGTCTGACCCTTTCCTGGAATTCCACAAGCAGACAGAAACTGGATGGCAGCTCGCTCACAGGACAGAGGTGCAGATATACTCATTGAGTACCATGCTATCCAGTCTATGGGTTCTTGGGCAGAGCATGGGCAAATAAAGTCATAACTACAAGGTGTATACAAGTTGTTTTTAATCTGTGCTGTTATACAGGTGGTGAAAAACACCCTAAACCCAGTGTGGAGACCGTTCCGCATCCCGATGCAGTCGCTATGTGGAGGTGACGTGGAGAAACCTATAAAGGTACACACACACTTACACCTGGACTGTAACGCATTGTGACTGATGACAGGACAGCCTTTTTCTTCTGTCTTCTTTCACACTGCATGTCCTCCTTGAAGGGTTGCTATTAGGAGGAAGTTAAATAATCCCTCCCGTCTCATTCTGGCTTTAGTTGTGTATGCTGATATAAAATGTTGCCTGGAACTTTTCTCCAAATGTAAAAGTTTATAACCTACTGACTGTTATTAGCTTCTCACTGAGTGTTGGATTAGCTTCATTGAATGGCCTGTGAGATTTGGCAAAATGTTTTTCATGAACATCGACATTGATCATTGAAGCATTTTACGTTTGTCATGTAAGATCAAGGAAACGCCGGATCAAGGCCACAGTGGGAACCCTGCCTGTGTTTTAATGCTTGCATCTTGTAGAATATATCTAAGGGTGTGATTATCTTAGTGCACATAAGGAAATGCATTTTAGTATTAGTTTATGTATGTTGTTTTTTGTTTCCACCCTCTAACCCGTAAAAGCACACTTGTCAGGAAGAGATGCTTTCCACTCTACAGTGCAAGTGAGTGTGCTGTTTCCAATGTGAGTACTCTTCACGTGAAGGATGCAGTGTCTGTGACAGGACAGGCCAAAGTCCTTGACGCATCTAAATCTATCTTAAAGGACTGAGTAAAAAAAAAAGAGGAGTTTGGCTCGTTGGTCAACTTACCTGTTAAATGATGAGAGCGTCATCACCACAATCATCCTGTGTCCCTGGTTAACCATTAACTTTCTTTGAACTTCTCCATTGCGCTTATTAAGTAACACAATGGAGCACAAGCATTAATTCAAAATGGAGTGTGTGTCAAGCTAAATTCAGGATATCCAGCGCAGTCGATACAATACAAAGAAAATATACTGTGAACTTACTAATTTCCTTTTTAACACAGGATATGAAGCCTTTGTGTGATAGTAGACTGTGATCTCATGTGTTGTTGATCACAAAAAAATCTGGCTTCATCAGGTATTGAATATTAAATATACTTTATTGTTAGAGCATATGAAATATATACATTTTTAGGCCACATGATGAAAAGTAACACATTTTTCTGTCGGCACTAGTGGCGTTCAGTCATTCAGTATATGGATTGGGGGTCGATCAATATGTTTTTTTCAGAGCTGATGCTGATAATTAGTAATCAAGGGGACAGATAACAGATATTTGGAACCCATATAAATAAGCAGTTCAGAAGAAAACTTTGTTTTGACTCCTTTAAGCATGTGTTCCATTAAGAGCCCTACACATGCTGCGTTTTTTGTGCCCTTATTTTGAAAGCTGGCACGGAAGAGGCACCAAAGTAGCGGCCAGCGTCCAATCTCACGTTTTCCAGGTGGCTAAAGACGTGGCATGTGCACAGACCCTTAAATGCTACAGAAGAGAACTCTTTGGACATTACCTGTAAAACATTTAAAGTTATCTAAAAACAAAATATGAGCCAATGCCCATCCTGTGCTGAAACGTTTTCTGCATGTACTGCAGACTGCCTTTCATAGTGTTGGTTGAGTGTTAGATTCCCACACTGCACTTTTATACCTTGCATCCATTCAGAGAGAGGGGAGGGAAGTTCTGACACAATACAAAAACTTCCTTTGATCATAAAGCACAGTGTTACTCTACAGTTCTCCGGTTCATCAGTAAAGTGCATGAACTACACTGCAGACTCGATTCTCTACAGTGACAAACAGGGTGACAACTGTATCAAATGAGCAGGGCCAACAGAGTTGAATGCATATGGGAAGGTCTCAGTCATATACATCTGGTGTATGAAATGTCTGTACTTTCTGTCACTGCCCTGTATCTTTACAAAATGGATCATCTGGTCACATCTCTTGCCGCATCCAGGTGCAGTCTCACTCCCTCTTCCTTTCCTTGTAACTCTCGTAGTAACAACTGTTACTAACAGCAGAATGTTACCAGTGGAAACACTGGTCTGTTTTAAAACAACAGTGTAGAAGAATATGATGTTTATTATAACATCAGTAATATCTGCTGCCGTATGTTAAAATCACAGTTCTGCTCGCTCCAGTCTGCATCTGCATTCACCTTTGCCCGTCACACTATCTGTCAGTGTTGATAGGTGTGACGTGTAACCAAGCATCAGAGCCAAAGCAATCGTATAAATGCTGAGTATTGCGTCTGTGCCAAGACTTGGTCGACCCCTAATATTGATTTTTTTTTAAATTACCTGGCAAATATTGATTATGTATCAACAAGTAAGTCAACCAACGGGCCAATTTCCTAGAAAGTAGATGCTTTCCATTAAGATGGATCCCTTTTTTTAATTATTCATAAGCTTTCTTAGTTATTCATCCTGTAGACTGACTGTAGCGTCACACAGTTTGTCTAATACGTACTGGTTGCTCCATGCTGTGTCTAGATCTGTTTGTCTTTGCCTGTTTTCTCAACACTGAAGGAACTCAGAAGCTGCAGTGTGCAGATTCTGAGCAGGTACTCTGTGTGTCTTGCACTAAAGGAGGTAGTGGGACCTTTACCCTTCTGTCTGACTATTAGGAGGCTTGTGTGTGTTTTTCTGTTTGATATCTTAATATCAGGGTGTTGCCCTACATTTGATCTTCACTCCCAAAGCATGCTTTTGTCTCATCTGCTTTGATTTTCACACACTGATGATAGTTTATCAGTTGGATATAAAAATACATTTTCTAAAGAGAATTGACTGGATTTGTGGTGTTTCTCCAAACTGTCTGTGTATTCCAGGTAGATTGCTATGACTACAACAGCAGTGGATCTCATGACTTTATTGGATCCTTTGAGACTTCACTCTGTGCAATTCAGCAGGCATCGCAAACATATGCGGTGAGCTCTATTTGCCTTATCTTTTTGCATGGGTATGTCCCAGATTTGACATTTTCCGTAAGCATAGACAAAACAGTGTATCTCTCCTACTTGTTTTTTCATTAAAAGCATTTTGTGATGCTTGACTGGCATTTTTAAAGTGTAAAAATGTACATATTGTTCCTGACACGTGTGTGGTGTATTTGTGCTTCTCTCAGGCCGAGTTTGAATGCATCAACAGTAAGAAGAAACAGAAGAAGAAAGGATACAAAAACTCTGGGGTTATCGTAATAAAGAAATGCAAGGTACTGTGGTTTCTTTTTTTGTATGAACTTATTATTTTCTTTGATTAGTATTTTAGTACTCTGCAAATTAGGAAGATATGCAAATAGACACAACACGAGCACCTGAAGAAACATCTTTATCAATTTGACAACACATGCACAGCATTTAGAAAAAGTACTGCATGGAGCTCTCAGCAGAAACTGTTTCCAGAGGACACTAAAAAGTGATGCACACACCACTGGGACTCACTGCCATGAGCTTTGTCATATGAAGTTATTGAGGGAGGCAATCCAGCAGCGATGTTGGTTAATGAGCACACTTCCCTCCTAAACATTCAGACATTGTGTGTGTGTGAAAAAATGAATGTGACTTTCAGGGTAAAAAAGCGCTCTAAGTAGTCGGAAGACAAGAAAGGCACAATACCATTCACCGTATGCAGATGTATACAATAGTTTGTATCTTGCTATGTATTGTAACATTGAAATAATACAAGTAAATGTGCAAACAACACCACAGTGCAGCACCTCAGCATATATGTGGTTACATTATTTCTTTTAAACAGTTCAATGACTTTCTTCTTTCTTTCACCAATATTTATTTTTAGACAGTGAAGGAGTATAGTTTCCTGGATTACATAATGGGCGGCTGTCAGCTTAACTTCACTGTGAGTACTACACATTTTTTAATCCTTTTATGCATCTTTGAAGAAACAAAAAAAAAAAAAACCACTTATCTTTTTTTAGTTACAGTGTTTGTTTGAGGATTTAATGTTTTCAAGAAACATTTTTTATCTTGTTATCAAGCATTATCTTATTTTTTTGTTTTCTTTTATTACCCATCCCTCTTTGCCAGATTGCTATTGATTTCACAGGCTCCAACGGGGATCCCAGAACCCCTCAGTCCCTCCATTACATCAGCCCTCAGGGCTATAATGAGTACCTGGCTGCTATCTGGGCAGTGGGAAATGTCATCCAGGACTATGACAGGTACAGAGATATTGGTTTTATGTAGTAATAGTGTGGTATTATGTTGGTTAACAAAGTAGAGGAATAGTACACCATGAACCATCTAAGCATAGTTGTGTGTTTTTGGAGCTTTTTCTGTCCAACTGTGGTCTCATCCCTTCTGTATGTCAACTTACTTGAACAATAACATCTCTTTTGTTTCACTTTCTGTAGTGACAAGATGTTCCCTGCTTTTGGATTTGGAGCCAAGATCCCTCCTACATGGCATGTGAGTGTTTGTGTTAATTAAAACATGCTTGGATATTTGTAAAGGCCTCTCTCCATGTGATCATTACATTCTCTAGCACAAAAAAAGCTTGTCTTGGATCGATGTGACTCAAGTCTACTTGATGTGGGATCCTGATTGATAGTTGTTTGTGTTTGCAGGTCAGCCATGAGTTTCCCATTAACTTCAACCCATCAGATCCGTTTTGTGCAGGTAAAAATATACACAGTTGTGTGTTCAGTGTGACAGACTGTGACACTTGGCATTTGGCTGTTCACAGATGTAGTTTGGCACAGTATAACATGAGATTGGCATCATTTGATCCTCCACTGAAGTTTTGGCATGGGGTGTTCAAAGCAGATATGTAACTTGTGCAACGAGTTGTGGAAACATGTTTGATCAGTTGATTAGTCAGTCACCAAAGTATTTATAGACAACAGTTTTGATAATCAATAGGTGTCTGAGTCATTTAGCAAGCAAAAATGGATTTGCAGCATGTCTCTGTTTTGTTGTAGATAGAATTAACAGTGTATCGATCACTGAAAAAGTTGTACAGAAAATATCAATCATTTCTCTAACATAAATTGATCATCATGTTGCAGTGTGCTGTCCATTTTCAGTGGTGCTGAATTAAGTGGAAATATGTGTGAAATAATCCTGTAAGACTTAGTTCTGTTTACCTGTGTGTCTATTTTTAGGTGTAGAGGGTGTGGTCCATGCCTACCAGCAGTGTCTGCAGCAAGTGAAGCTTTACGGTCCCACAAACTTTTCCCCAATCATCAACCATGTAGCCCATTTTGGCCGACAAGCCATGCAGCAGGAAACTGCCTCTGTGAGTTACTGGAAGTCTTAAATCAGTCAGAACGCTGTAATTGTTGCTGTTGTGTGCAAAAGTTTGTTATTGTAGTTTTGATTTGGAAATAGCCACTAAACAGGGACAACATCATTTTAGTTCTTCTTCTCCACACAGTATCAATCAGTGAAGGTGAAAGCGCTTCCACTTCATTTTGTTTCTGCTGTTCCCCCTTATTTCAATGTTTCACAGCAATACTTTGTTCTGCTGATCATCACTGACGGAGTGATCACAGACATGGATCAGACACGTAGTGCCATCGTCAACGCCTCTCGCCTGCCCATGTCGATCATCATTGTTGGAGTAGGGGGAGCAGACTTCGATGCCATGGAGTTCCTGGACGGAGACGATGGAATTTTACGCTCTGCCACAGGCGAGGCTGCCATGCGGGACATTGTGCAGTTTGTGCCTTTCAGGCAGTTCCGTGATGTAAGTTGTATCATAAAGCAAAGTCTTTGTTGGCATGCACCACCTAAGCTTCTTAAGTCTTTAAAAATCCTTAAATAATGCACAAATGTCTGAACATCTAATTTCAGGCAGGCATTCCAGCCCTTGCCCAAAGCGTACTGGCAGAGTTGCCTGACCAAGTGGCCTCCTTCTTCAATTTATTTGACCTGAAGCCCCCCAACGAACCCCCCAGCGAACCCAGTCCTTCCTAGAAATGTAGGAGTACCCCCAGTACCCAACAAATCTCATTCCCCTCTTTCCTCCCCACCTTTGATTCAATGCTGTATGATTTGATTTTGACCAGAGGCATAATTACACAACCTAGTTAGCTTAACTAACCACCCTGTTTTCCAGGGTTTTTATATCCTGTCCACTTCACAGTATGCCTCACGTTATGTCATCATGCACTGAAAGTCTGTGGACATACTCTGTTGAAATCTCTAACTCATGAATGCTCTCACAGGGGGGTTAATGCAAGACTATTTCTTGACAGTGAGCAGAAACTTCCTGGAGTCTCTGCTGGTTGCCTGGCAACCGCTCAGAGCCAAGAAAAAGTCTAATGCTCCATATAACTGCAATGTTATATGCAAATGTTTTTACACACCGGTTTTTGTACAGATTAAAGAAACCAGATACAGGGTTCCTTCACAGTGTGGAATAGTAGAAATGTTAGTTAACTGAATTTCCAGGTCTGGATAAGTCATAGAATTAAAACAATAATTAGATATTGCGGCCGGTGCATACACCAAAAAAACTTCATAGCTTCCGGATTTACTTTCGCAGTATACAGCCCACTGAATATCCTGACTGCAAGTTCTTGCTCGTCTCATGGATGTATATTGTAATGATGTCATAGATTATTAAATTGCTCTTCTCAGCTCAAGGAAAGATTTACAAAAAAGTTAAAAAAAAATCATAATAGAGAGAGTCATAATTTACCTTATTTGCAGTTCGAGGTTTCCTGTCAACAGTTGTACAGACATGTCTTTTACAGTGGTGGCTAATGAGAAATGCTTTTTGGGCAGCAGGGATTTTTTAGCCGCAAGTGGCTACTGGGGAAAATTGGAAGCATGGCTGAGCAGGTTTCCTGGGGGCTGGGATAAGTATGGAAAAAAAATATTTGTGTTTCCAGACTTTTACCCCTATTCTGTTTTCTAAAATATTAAATTTAGAGTTTCTAAAAATAAACTGATCATACAAGCAGAGTTTTTTTTAGCACAATTAAAATGTTGACCACTGTGTGAGTTGGTGCCAAACCGACCTTGACTTGATGACATTTATGAGCGATACACTGATGTAGTTATCAGTACATTTGATCAGTAGTTATCAAGTAAACTGACTAAGGAAACATTTATGGCTGCACACATCATCGTTTCCATTGATACCGTGAGTAAAAGAGGGGCACAGACGCTGTGAAAATTAAATTTTTTTTTTACTATTTTCAACTCAGTTTTGGCTCTTATTTATAAAAAGAGGCTTAAAAAGCAAACCCGACATGAAAAATCGACCTTGAAGTCTGGTAATTTGGGTCTGAAAAAGTATAAAGTTTTGATATGGAAAATATGTAGGAAACCAGCTGATAAACATATGATACAGTTTCCAGTCTTTGTGTTAAAGTCAACCAACAGGCTACTGGCTGTAGCCGTATGTTTACTGTATAGTTATGACAGCAGTATGGGTTCAACTCTGCTAGAAAGTAATAAAATATTTCCTCATGTTTAAAGATCAAAATACATACCAATACCATTTATATGTTTTGGGAAATATGTTTACACTACACTTCTTTAATCTGTACAGTAACTAGTGTAGACACTGAACTCATTAGCACAACACTAGCATAACCTGTTACTACAGGAACATTTGTAGAGAGCATTCCTGGGCTAGTTTTTAGTAAATCATATTCTAACCATAGGAACATAAACAGTTGCTATGAACTGGCGACCTGTTGCAACTGTCAGTGTTGAAACATCACTCTGTTTGCACATGAATGTGCATCGTAAATCTGTATACTAGGGATGAAATGGTTACTGCTTTCATGATAAACCGCGACACAATTCCCAACGGTTAGAATCCCCATAATAAATTTTGATTATCATTAAAACTCTGTTTGATTACCATGCTTTGAAAAACTGATGCTATGCTAAGCATCAACCAGAGTTTGCAACAGTCTCCCACACACAGGTGCAGCATGCAGTTCATGTTTTTTTTGCTGTTGCCAGGTTTGTAAAGAGGGTGTGTAGCAAGCAAACTCAGTGATGCTACCGGTCCCTTGTCCTCATATGCAGTGACGCAGACACTCGGGCCTGTATCTCATAGACAGGCACATTTTTTTTGGTTTTCATATATTAACATATTAGATATTATCATTTTAATTTTCCTGCAAATGAAAAGTGCATAGTGCTGCTAATTTTATTTGTGGTTTTCACTGTAAAATTTGGTGAAATTATTTCAGTTTTAGTGTCAATACTTTTGGGACATTCTCATCACATATTAATAATGCTGTGACAATACTAATAACTGGGATAATTTTGGTCACTATGAGTGTATTATGACATTTTTATACCATTTCATCTCTACTGTATACTCCAGAGGTTCTCCCTGTTTCAACACTGTGCTATACATACTTCTAATCATACTAATAATAACTAAATATTCATCATGTAATACTCAGATGCCTGTTGCTCATCTCCGCAGCCCCCTGCTTCTTTTATTTGATTGCTCCATTTAGTGTCCCTGCTATCTCCTCCAAATTCATGTACAAGTGTTTGTCACTCTCACCTTGTGACTCTGTCTCTGCTCCTCTAGTGTCCTCAAGAAGCGCTTGCTCAGAGCGTCTTGGCAGAAATCCCGGGTCAGGTGATGGGTTTCTTCAACACCATGAAACTGAGGCCACCCCACAGCGACACACCTCTACCTGACCTCTCAGCATCCGCACCCCCGAGTGAAATGTCTTGAGGATGGCATGCAGCATCCACTCTGTCAGCCATGGTTTGATTTGTAAATACTATGTACTAATATTTTAAAGCCATACTCATTGTCATTGTCACGCATTTTCTAACATTTTTTCAATGTGCACTTAATGTAGATATTTAATTTGACTCTTGCATACAACTTTATGTGACTCAAGTCAGTTAATCAGTTCAGTTTTTATTTGTCACGTGATCATATAAGGTCCAATTCCAGTGAAATGTAAACCCGCCAGTTCCTTCAAGACACGATTGTTAAGAATTTAAGAGTTTAGGGCATTACTTGAAACCAGTATAAGTTACGCCAAGGTCTAGGTATATGTGGAACAATTGAGGCAACTAACAGCAGTCATCTCATGAGTCTGTCAGATGTATGTATGAAAGGGCTGGCGTACTTAATGTGTCCTACATGTTCCTGCTAATACTTCCTCAAGCATCTCCATATTACAGTAACCACTTGCTGGTTTATACACTCTCATATTTCCCTGGGAAATGAAGCATGCATTTCCTTTGAAATCAGGGCCTCGGACAATACAGTGACTATCAAATGCAATTCAGTGATGTTTACATAGTGGATCCATACACAATGGATTAATCGTTTGCCTAAACCAATGCCTTTTGTAGATTTTACACAACAAAGAGGATTACAGTGTGTCCTTGGTGCTGTTTTGTACTTTAATCAGTTTCCTTTTCTTTTTTTAAATCAAGTTTCATATTTGATTTGACATATAAGCGTTAAAGAAGGAGAAGCTATTATCGGTGAGCTTCATTTCTTTAAAATGCATGTTTGTACACTAGAAGTTCACTCTGTCTTAAGAGGAGAAAGTAAAACTTCTCACTTTACTGACTGTTATGAAAATGGCCTTGTACATTTTACTGAGTGTATATTTGTTGTTTGGATAAGTTGTTTGCACCGATCACTGAGACATTGTCTTATGTATTGTAGTTATCTTTGTCTTGGACTTTGATTTTATCAATATTTTATGTAAACATGACAGCAATGTAAAAGAGAAATTATATTGTACCTACTTAACAGCCGGCTTCTACTTCAATATTTCTATGTGAAATTATACGATAATTTGAAAGATTTTTGTTGTTGTTTTGTTTTGCTCGTGCCTTCATCTCATGACATTTAAAAATACTACATGTATTTTAACAAAGTAGTGATTTATATTCACAACCAAATTGATTTAACTCTGGACTTCAGACTTGCAACTAAATAAACACCTACTCTATCTGTTTTTAATATTTGTGAAACCTTGGTTACTCCTTTCAGTATGATACATGTGGTGCGTCCCTTACATGTAGCAGTCCTTCAGGAGTCTCCTGGCTGCCTTGGTGCTGGTTGGAAATGCTTGTTGACGTCAAGAAGAGTATTTAAAAATAATGGTTAACTGTCATTTAGTAATCAGAAATGGCCATAAAATTGTCATGTGTCAAGTACAATCAAGGGTATGAATGAACATGCTAACGCTAACAGGATGTGTATTATTAATGTAAACTTTGCTGTCAAACAAGATAAAGCCCTGCAACATATTGCCAGAAACAGTTTATAAAGACAAGCTTAACAATCATAAACAAAATCCACAACCAGATAAACATGAAGGCCATTTAGATTAAGGAAAAATAAAGGATAAGTATAAAAAAATAAGGAGATAAATTAACAAATAAATGTGTTTCTTATACAAAGATATTGGCTCAACACAGACAAAGTGACAATGGGGGACTATTGGTGACACTACAATATGTTTCTAATATTCATACAAAGTCAGGTCCAACATTTGAGAAATACACTATTTTGTCCAGTTCTCAATAAAACTATCCTGGGTTTTCAATAAAAGTAATTCTCTCCATTACATAAATCAAGTCAAGACATTCATCAACACTAGGTACTGTAAAACTTAAAGTAATATCCTGGGCTATTATTTGCATATATCACTGAAATCAACAGGCCTATATTTGGGACAGGTCTTTAATTCCTTTCGCACAAACTGTTGCTCAGCAAAAATCAGGAAATATAATCAAGTTGTTTATTTAAACCAGTATCAGTATTACTTGTTTAAATATTAAGCATCAGATAATATATCAGTTATGAATCACTCATTTAATCTAGCTCCGTGAGACAGAGCGTCAGGGAAAGAGTGAGTTACCACACTCATTTTACAGCACCCAGCTTAGCAATACCACTTTATCCTGTTAAATCAATACTCACAACATGGATTGATTTTTATAAAAACACCTTTTTGATTCTTTTGATCTGAGGACCCTTATGGACTAAACGAGTATGAATAATTTACAGGGCTATCAAGTACTGGAAACATATTTTGAGGTTTTACACAACCAAAGAACTGCAAAAAATGGACTGCTTGAGACAGGTATTTATTTGTCCAAATGTGTAGCTACACCGGGCTAGTATGTATTTTTCAGCGATTTCTGTGGATTTCTTATAGGCCACTAACTGTATTTTTTTATTTATTTTTTACAATTCAAGTTTTTATTGGTTTGAAAGGCTTGGTAAATGGCATACATATATTATCTTCCAAGCATACAAAAATACAAGGCACATATTTTTTATTATATGGAGGTGGACTCCAGCACATGAATAAAAATTAACAAATAAGTCTAGAAGGAAAGAGAAGGAAACAAACTAACAAACAATAATATGTCACACATATGTCCGCATACATCACTCTACATGGTCACATAATCACAGAGAAAGTTCATAATTATGTAGGCTTATATTCCATTTCGATATGAAACCATAACCGGCCCCATATCAAAATGGAATATAAACCTACGTAATTATGGATAGTATTTTTAAGATACTTATCCTTCCATTGAAGTTTCTCTAGTCTAATCAGGCACAGTAGTTTATTTTTACAGCTTTTTCGTGTGTTTTTTCCCCCCTTTATTTTAAACTTTGCATTAACAGTTTTAACACAATGCATTCAGTGGTCAGTACATTCAGTTTGTATACAAAGTGGTAAGTAATGACCAAAAAATACAATTATAATGAGTTAAGTGAGCACAAACTTCAGTAATATAATTGTATAAAATAGACACAAGTATGAACACACACATGAACACACACAGGGGCTTTCCTAATTAGTTATAAAGTTGCTCAATTTGCATAAATCAATAGTTTTGGTTTGTTTTTATCACATATTTTTAAGTATGTTATTATTTTAAGACAGGAGGACATACACGAGGGTAATATCTTTAAGTATTTTATTTTTTGAATATGAAATTTAGTTAAAATATTATAAAAATAAATGAATTATATATTATTAATTCTTGGAGAAATTTTAATTAAAGAATATTATTTACACATCAAGTTCTTTGAGTCTGGGTCAATTTATAGTCATCCACCCAACTACTTCTACTTCCGGTGAGCCCTTCAAAATAAAACTTTCAAAAAAGACAGATGCAGTTACGCCGAGTTATACACTGTAACCCCTGGACGAGGAACCTTAATTACTGTACACTATACTACACGGTGTGTACCACAGACTGTAGGTTTTACAGTTGTACTTTTTACAGTCATGACAAAAACTAACTCCTTGAGCGTCAAGCCAGATATAACAGTTTGCGACTTCCGGTGAAGAAATTCAACAGAAGCAGGAGGGCTTCTTGGTGGGCGTAATTTTTTTCGTGTGGGCAGAGCTCAAAGAGCAGAGCCTCAAAAGGCGACACCACCCTTTGAAGCTGTTAACGTACGATAATCTTGTGCTATTATCGCCACCCGACAAAGTGTTTTCTACGTGAGACGTTCAAAGGTACGTCTGAATTTAAATAACAGTCTAATTGTTAGCGTATGTTGACGGTGTTAGCCAACTAGTTTATTAATTTAGCATCTACTAGCCCAGTTAGCTTGTTAGCTTTAGCTGTTGTGCTTTCACTTAAAGCAACCCTGTCAGCTTTTATCCTTCCCATCGGCTAGACTTAATGGGTGTTTAAGTTATTGTGTCATAGTTTCCATGAGCCTCAGTTCAATACACCGTGTGTGAGTGAGGCTCCACAGTGTTGTGTGTAACTTAGTTGTTTGAAGCTAGCTTAACGTTAACTCTTAATTAGATGTTTGTGGCGTAACGTAAACGTTGGGTGTGTAATTTAAAGTCACTGCGGCACCAGCTCGTCAATGTTAACTTATGTGTTTAACATGCTGTAACTTACCTTTTAAGCAAGTAACATCAGCTTATAAACGTTTGTATTCGCAGAAATGTATGTCCATCTTTTAACGCTAACAAATCTTAGCTAGCATCTTAGCAATTTAAGCTACATCTTGTTATATCATGTTTGTGCGTGAATAAGCATGTAAATATATTTCATAGTAGTCTCCCTCTCTGTGTGTGTTTCTAAGTCCCTCCCTACCTGTGTTGCTTCCCCAGCTCGGTGCCTTTCAGACATGGCTGCCCAGTGTGTAACTAAGGTGGAGCTGACTGTGTCCTGTGAGAATCTGCTGGATAAGGACATCGGCTCCAAGTCCGACCCTCTGTGTGTCCTGTTAATGAGCAGCGCTGATTCCCAGTGGTATGAGGTCAGAAGGATGTCTGGATCTGGATTCATTTATTATATTACAGATTTACAGCTGCTGTTAGTGGGGACTGGTGTGAAGCTGCTAAGATGTTACTGATTTTAAGTTTAGTTTAGTTTTCCAATTGTCAAACACACTGTAGTCAGTCAGTATTACTAAAATAACATTTATTTTGATATGCAAAAATGCACTCCTGAGAAACCACCCCTGACCTGAGATAATACGATATATCTCAGATAATATGGGATATACAGAAGGGTGATAAATTAAAGGAAAAACAACAAGGTGTTTGGTCATCACATGCTGCTGCAGTCTGGCATTGATTCCAGAAATCTCTGGAACTCCACTGGGTGATTTGATGATGGTGGTGCAGAGTGTTGATGTAGGCAGAAAGCATTTTTGCAGGTTGCAAAACACAAGGCACACTGCACTGCTTTTTTTTAAATTTTAATTGAATGCCACTGGCAAAAAAAGAAAAGCTTGCTGCCTCTTTACCTAACTCTCCCATGTAATCAATCTGCCGTTTTATTTTATTTCATTTAATTTATTTCACAGTGCAGTGGTTAGCACTGTCGCCTCACAGCAAGAGGGTTCCTAGTTCGAACCCAGGGTGGGGGAGCCCTTCTATGCAGAGTTTGCATGTTCTCCCTGTGTCAGTGTGGGTTTCCTCCAGGTACTCCAGCTTCCTCCCACAGTCCAAAGACATGCAGGTTAACTGGTGACTCTAAATTGCCCGTAGGTGTGAATGTGAGCGTGAATGGTTGTCTGTCTCTATGTGTCAGCCCTGTGATAGTCTGGTGACCTGTCCAGGGTGTACCTCACCTCTTGGCCAATGTCAGCTGGGATAGGGGGTTAAAGGAAACGAATGAATATGAGGCAAAGGGTACTTGCTGTAGCTCTGGTTGAGGGTGAGAGGCTGTCAGTGAATAGTTTGTTGGTCACAGGGAAACAGAGATCTGTGTGGGTATATGAGACCCTAAAAAAGAGGGTGGATCATGGGGAGTACCACCAGTTGGTCCAGGAGCCTCTTCGCCTCCATGATGTCTTTTTAAAGGCATATTTTAGGTTCCCTCGGGGAGCAGTTTGACAGCCTGCTGTCTGTCGTCGAGCCATGTAGCTCTGGGTATCCAGCAACTGCTGCCACCAGTTTCTCCTCCATTGTTTACCAACTGTAAACTTGTTGTTGTGACCACCACAGAAGGCCTGCCTCTCAAATCATCTGATTGGACAGTGGGAAAAAACAGGATGAAAAAAGAGTTGGTGTGGGGCATTTTTCAGCTCTGAGTTAAAGTTTTTCAAGTCGAGGAGTTCAGAGTGCTCCTGCAAAAATGCCAGGCGTCAAAGTGCAGAAATGCGAGGCATCTAGCAACACAAAAGCAGCAAGCAAAGAGCATCATTGTCATTTAAAATCAATGTGATTAGGGCCTAAGTGTGCCTTGGCATTGATGCCACAATTCTCTTGAACTCTACTGGAGGGATGAACACCACCGCACAGTGCTGCCTAAGGCATCGGTCCAAAATCCCCTGTAGATGTTCAGTTGGGTTGAGATCTACATCATAGCATGATTCACATCATTTTCATACTTATTATCAAACCATATAACAACCCCTTGTGCCCTATGAATGGAGGCTCTGTCATCCCACTCATTTATTCTGTTTTTTTCCTTTCATTTGTCACCCATCTGTATGAAATGACACATTTTACCAAGGTG